TCTGAGATCCACCAATGATGGAATTGAACCAAACGTGGCACAGAGAACTCTCACGACCAACAGAAAACACTGGAGGGGTTTGGTGAGCATTGATCTTGATTTTTGGAGTTGTAGTTCACTTACATCCAGAGAGCACTGTGGACTCAAGCAATGATGGATCTGGACCAAACTTGTCACGAATACTCAATATGCCTAAATGTGAACACTAGTGGAATTTGGGGGAAATGGACCTTGACATTTGGGAGTTATAGGTGCTGCAATTTATAGTTCACTTACAATTAAAAAGCATTCTGAACCCTACTAACGATGGAATTGAGGCAAACTTGGCACAGAGAACTCCAACAACCAACAAAAAATACTGGAGGGGTTGGTAGGCATTGACCTTGATTTTTGGAGTTGTAGTTCACCTACATCTAGAGAGCACTGTGGACTCAAACAGTGATGGATCTGGACTAAACTTGGCACAAATACTCAATATGCCCAAATTCTAACAATGGTAGAGTTTGGGGAAAACAGACATTGACATTTGGGAGTTGTCGTTACTGGGATTTATAGTTCACCTACAATCAAAAGAGCATTCTAGACTCCACCAATGATTGAATTGAATGTTAGTTTGGCACACAGAACTCCCAGGACCAACAGAAAATACTGGAAGGGTTTGGTGGGCATTGACCTCGAGTTTGGGAGTAGTAGTTCACTTACATCCAGAGAGCACCGTGGACTCAAACAATGATGGATCTGGACCAAACTTGGCACGAATACCCAATATGCCTAAATGTGAACACTGGCGGAGTTTGGGGAAAATAGAGCTTGACATTTGGGAGTTGTAGTTGCTGGGATTTCTAGTTCACCTACAATCAAGGAGCATTCTGAATCCCACTAACGATGGAATTGAACCAAACTTGACACAGAGAACTCCCACAACCAATAGAAAATATTGTGTTTTCTGATGGTTTTTGGCGACCCCTTTGACACCCCCTTGCAACCCCCCCCAGGGGTCCCGACTCCCAGGTTGAGAAACACTGCTGTAGAGACACTGCCAGTCAAGACGGACCACAGATAAGATGGGAAATGCCATTGAAACGTTGACAATGAGAGAATTGATGACAGAACGTGAAGATTCGTGACCTGGCCTTCAGGAGTCCGATGGAAAAGACCAATCCTTTCCTGATAAACACACCTTCCTTCAGCGTTTATTGTGAAACATAGGCAGGTGTCCCACACAAATACATAATCAGATTATCTATCTGATCCCTTCCAGCAGTACAGTATTATATTTCTAAAAACGAATTAGAGAAGGCCACAGATAGGGAGAGAGAGATGTATCTCCTAAGAGGTTAAGAAGGAGACAGATAATCTCCCAAATGGCTCAAGGTTGCCCTAACCCAGTGGTTCTCAACCTTCCTAATGCCACTACCCCTTAATAGAGCCTCACGTTGTGGTGACCCCAACCATAACATTGGACACGACTTAACTTAATGTCAGGGAAAAACTTTTATCTCACTTTACCCAATATGCCCAAATTTGAACACTGGTGGGGTTGGAGGGAGATTTGATTATGTCATTTGGAAGTTGTAGTTGCTAGGATTTATAGTTCACCTACCATTCTTCTGTCTTTGCCATCTTCTTCTCTGGCCCTGGAACTCAACAAAAAAGCTCCTGTTTTGTAGCAGATTTCCAATGATGCAGGTAAAGTGGTCGTGTGTTGTAGTAGCTGGGATAGTTCATCTACAATCAAGGAGCATTCTGAACTCCACCAATGATGGAATTGAACCAAATTTGGCACACAGAACTCCCACGACCAATGAAAAATACTGAAAGGGTTTGGTGAGCACTGACCTTGAGTTTTGGAGTTGTAGTTCACCTGCATCCAGAGGGCATTGCAGACTCAAACAATGATTGATCTGGACCAAACTTGGCACAGATACTCAATATGCTCCAATGTGAACACTGGTGGAGTTTGGGGAAAACAGACCTCGGCATTTGGGAGCTACTGGGATGTATAGCTCCCCTGCCATCGAAGAACTCAGAAGGGTGCTCGGGGGGCGGGCAGAAAGGCCGTGAGCGCAGCACTCCGTCTCGCCCCCCGCACCCTTCTGTACTTGGAAAGGTGCGGGGGGCGGGCAGCCCTCCCTTGCCCAAACGGCAAGGGTCAGCAGCCATTTGGCGGGCAACCAAGGCAACTTCGCGACCCCCCGATAATGGCCCAACAACCCCTCTGGGGGTCGTGAGCCCCAGGTTGAGAACATCTGCCATAACCGTTTCCAACTGACTCAGGAATGCTTTGGAAGGTCTTCAGTGGAGGAGAAAGAGTTAAGACTAGAATGGAAAAATATTCTATGTCTCTCGATTGTGAGTTTTTTGGGCTGTGTGCCATCTTTCAGAAGCATTCTCACTTGACGTTTCACTTTGTAGGTCTTCTTTATGAATGCGCACAGATTACATTATCATCAACATATTGGAGTTCTATAACAGATGTTGTTGTGACCTTGGTTTTGGCTTTCAGTCTGCTGAAAGGCCTAGCTTCTCATATGCTTCTGCAATGGTGTTTAGAGTGGCTTGTTGGTCTTCTTCTGAATGCACACAGATTACGTTATCATCGGCATATTGGAGTTTTATAACAGATGTTGTGACCTTTGGTTTTGGCTTTCAGTCTGCTGAAATGCCGAGCTTCTCATATGCTTCGACAAAGGTGTTTAAAGTGGCTTGTAGGTCTTCTTCTTAATGCGCACAGATTATGTTATCATCAGCATATTGGAGTTTTATAACAGATGATGTGACCTTTGGTTTTGGCTTTCAGTCTGCTGAGGGACTGCTAGAAGAGCACTTTAGTTTTCTTGATGTTCAATGAGAGGCCGAGCTTCTCGAATGCTTCTGCGAAGGTGTTTAGAGTGGCTTATAGCTCTTCTTCTGAATGTGCACAGACTACGTTATCATCGGCATATTGGAGTTCTATAACAGATGTTGTTGTGAACTTGGTTTTGGCTTTCAGTCTGCTGAAAGGCCAAGCTTCTCATATGCTTCTGCAAATGTGTTTAGAGTGGCTTGTAGGTCTTCTTCTGAATGCGCACAGATTACGTTATAATCGGCATATTGGAGTTTTAAAACAGATGTCGTGACCTTTGGTTTTGGCTTTCAGTCTGCTGAGGGACTGCTGGAAGAGCACTTTAGTTTTCTCGATGTTCAATGAGAGGCCGAGCTTCTCGTATGCTTCTGCGAAGGTGTTTAGAATGGCTTATTAGTCTTCTTCTGAATGTGCACAGACTACGTTATCATCGACATATTGGAGTTCTATAACAGATGTTGTTGTGACCTTGGTTTTGGCTTCCACTCTGCTGAAAGGCCGAGCTTCTCATATGCTTCTGCAAAGGTGTTTAGAGTGGCTTGTAGGTCTTCTTCTGAATGCGCACAGATTACGTTATCATCGGCATATTGGAGTTTTATAACAGATGATGTGACCTTTGGTTTTGGCTTTCAGTCTGCTGAGGGACTGCTGGAAGAGCACTTTAGTTTTCTCGATGTTCAATGAGAGGCCAAGCTTCTCATATGCTTCTGCGAAGGTGTTTAGAGTGGCTTGTAGGTCTTCTTCTGAATGTGCACAGACTACGTTATCATCGGCATATTGGAGTTCTATAACAGATGTCGTTGTGACCTTGGTTTTGGCTTTCAGTCTGCTGAAATGCCGAGCTTCTCATATGCTTCGACAAAGGTGTTTAGAGTGGCTTGTAGGTCTTCTTCTTAATGCGCACAGATTACATTATCATCGGCATATTGGAGTTTTATAACAGATGATGTGACCTTTGGTTTTGGCTTTCAGTTTGCTGAGGGACTGCTGGAAGAGCACTTTAGTTTTCTCGATGTTCAATGAGAGGCCAAGCTTCTCATATGCTTCTGCGAAGGTGTTTAGAGTGGCTTATAGGTCTTCTTCTGAATGCGCACAGACTACGTTATCATCAACATATTGGAGTTCTATAACAGATGTTGTTGTGACCTTGGTTTTGGCTTTCAGTCTGCTGAAAGGCCGAGCTTCTTGTATGCTTCTGCAAAGGTGTTTAAAGTGGCT